TACAGAAAACATGTAATAATTTTCCTAATTTTATGGATTTCCAACCGCCTGCCATGGTTAAACCATAAGAGATGGATCTGGACATACTGTGAGCGAAATACTTTAATAAATGTTTTTGATGGAATGAGGACTGCCAAGTGAAACCGAGGTACTGAGAAAACCTGACCCAGTACCACTTTGTCCATTACAAACCCCACATGACCTGGTGACTAACTGCCTGAGCTGTGGCATGGCTTTAAAATAAAGTAAGATGCACTTACAAAAGAAATGTGGACCATGAATTGTCTGCTACTGCCAAGGGTCTATATGAGAAGAATGCTGTGCCAGGTGTGGGAACCAGTCTAATGACTTATGGATGTGGCAATGTTTACTAATCACACACTTTTTTTTTTCCATTGGCGCTACAGCCCTCATTTGGGCCTAGGCCTACCTCCATGAAACTCTCCGTTTCACTTTGGTTTACTAGATCTTACACATACGGTAGGACTCCTTGGGCGAGTGATCAGCTCGTCGCAAGGCCTCTACCTGTAGACAAACACAGAAAAACGCACACAAACATCCATGCCCTGAGTGGGATTCGAACCCACGATCCCGGCTTCCGAGCGAGCGAAGACAGTGCATGCCTTAGACTGCTCGGCTACCATGACCGGCAATCACACTCTATTACTGTCCCTAATTTCATGTAAACTTCTGTGTAATATTTTGTTCCATACAATGGCTTGAAAATATCCTCCTATCTGACTTTAGCTTTAACAGTGTTTAGCAGAATTTTCATGTTACACCCACAAAATTGATCTAATATACAACACAACTTCTGATGCTGGGCACATATTTAGAAAAATAATTCTAAAAGATTCAATAATATATCCTATGATATGAAACAATAAGGGTCATAACGTGTGTAGTATGGTAGGTGGGTCTGTTCTTTCAGAGAAACTTACTATCTCAATTATTATTATTGTTATTATTCAACCCGGAATAGTGGAGCCAGAAGAGATGGCTGTTATACTATATAAACAAGTGACATGTTTTGTATTATAGCATTAAATCTAAGTACTTGGTATTTTCATAAGTCTACTAGTCTTTCGGATGCCCTTTCACTCTGTGAAAAATCTGCCATGATTTACTCAAGAATAAGAGGAAATTATAACAAGTATGACAAATATACCTATACTTACACACTGAAAAAGGATAAAATGAAAAGTGGTTTGTCTTGGTAATAAGAGATATAATACGCTTGTTACGAAAATGTTCAAGAAGGCTCAGGCCTGGATGGATTCTGTAGAAAAACAACCTAGCCAAAAGAAAATGGATATGAGATCTGACACTTGGAATGTTAGAAGTATGTATAGGGCAGGTTCGCTCAAGGCAGTGACGGTAGAAGTCTCAAAATATAAGTTAGGTTTAGTGGGAGTACAGGTCAGATGGGACAGAGGTGGCACTGAAAGAGCAGGCGAATACACATTTTTCTATGGAAAGGGGAATGAAAATCATGAATTAGGTACAGGTTTTTTTGTACATAAGAGAATCGTATCATCAGTTATGAGGGCAGAGTTCATTACTGATAGTATATCATATATAATACTAAAAGGTCGCTGGTGTGATATCATCATTATGAATGTTCACACCCCAACAGAAGATAAAATTGATGACATAAAAGGACAGGTTCTATGAAGAACTAGAACAAGTATTTCATAAATTCCCAAAGTACCATATGAAAATTTTGTTAGGAGATTTAAATGCCAAAGTAGGAAGGGAAGACATTTTCAAACCAACGACTGGGAGTGAGTTTGCACAAAATTGGTAATGATAATGGAGTTAGAGTAGTAAACTTTGCCATATTGAAAAATCTTACTGTCAAAAGTACAATGTTCCCACATCGTAACGTCCATACATTTACTTGGACATCTCCTGATGGGAAGACACAAAATCAAATCGACCATATTTTCATAGACAGGAGCTGGCACTCAAGTATACTTGATGTCCGATCATTCAGGGCAGCAGATTGTGATACTGACCACTACTTGGTGGTGGGAAAGGTTAGGGAAACACTGACAGTGAGTAAATGAATGATGCCCAGAGTTCATATGGGGAAAATCTGAACAACACAAAACGTGAAATCGACAGGAATTTCAGGAATAAAAAGAGGGAATATCTGAAAGACAAAACTGATGAGCTTGAAACAAACAGTAAGAAAAGGACATTAGAGACCTATATAGAGGAATAAATGGCTTCTCTCAGTTATTGAACGCAAATAGGGTCAGTGATGTTAGGCAGACCGAAATACATACTGCTGAGCTATTAGTACCTTTTGAGGTTGAAAGTGCTATTACAAAATTGAAAAGATATAAATCGCCAGGTAGTGATCAAATTTCGGCAGAACTTATTCAAACATGAGGTGAAAAATTACGTTCTAAGATCCATAAGCTAATTACTTATATTCGGCATAAGGAAAAATTGCCTGATCAGTGGAAAGAGTATATTACTGTACCAGTTCACAAGAAGGGTGATAAAATTGACTGTAGTAATTATCGGGGGATATCACTGCTATCAACTTCATACAAAATTTTATCCAATATTCTTCCCTCAAGGTTAAGTCCATACATAGATGAAATTATTGGGGATCATAAGTATGGGTTTGATGAACAGATCAACTACTGATCAGATCTTTTGCATTAGTGTGATATTGGAGAAAAAACAGGAGTACAATGTGACAGTACATAAGCTACCTGTATTACTAGACTTCAAGAAATCCTATGATTCAGTTAGGAGGGTAGTATTGTACAATATTCTCATAAGAGTTTGGGGGTACCCATGAAACTAGTTAGACTGATTAAAACGTGTTTAACGAAATGTAAGGTAAAGTCCGTACAGGTAAACATTTGTCTGATAACTTTTGTATCCAGAATGGTCTAAAACAAGGAGATGCTTTATCGCCACTCCTTTTCAACATTGCTTTAGAATATGCCATTAGGAAGGTCCAGGAAAACCAGGTGGGACTGAAATTAAATGGGACACATCAGCTGTTGGTCTATGCTGATGATGTAAATCTACTGGATGATAATATAGATATCATAATGAGAAACACACGAACTTTAACTAACGCTAGTAAGGAGGTTGGTCTAGAAGTACACAGAGAAAACTAAGTATATGTTGCTGTCTCATCATCAAAATACAGGGCAGAATCATGACATGAAGACAGCTAACAGATGGTTTGAAAATGTGGTACAGTTCAGTATTTGGGAATGGCTATAACAAACCAAAACTTGATTCAGGAGGAAATTAAGAGATTGAATTCAGGTAATGCCTGCTACCATTCAGTCCAGAACATTTTGTCTTCTTGTCTGCTGTCCAAAAACATAAAAATTAGAATATACAAAACTATAATTTTGCCTGTGGTTCTGTATGGGTGTGAAACTTGGTCTCTGAGAACAGGGTGTTGAAGAGAATATTTGGACTGAAGAGAGACGAAGTGACAGGAGTTTGAAGAAAACTGCATAATGAGGAGCTTCATAGCTTGTAGAATGATCAAGTCAAGGAGGACAATATAGGCAAGGCATGTAGCATGAATGGGGGAAAAATAGGAATGCATATAGGATACTGGTGGGAAAGCCAGATGGAAAGAGGCCACTGGGAAGACCAAGGCATAGGTGGATGGACAATTTTAAAATGGATCTTAGAGAGATAGGATGGGACAGTGTGGATCGGATTGATCTGGCTCAGGATAGGTACCAGTGGAGGGCTCTTGTGAACATGGTAATGAACCTTCAGGTTCCAGAAATTCCTGGGAAGTTCTTGATTAACTGCACAACTGGCAGCTTCTGAAGGAGGGCTCAGCTCCATGGGTGGGTGAGTGAATAAGAGATATTACTTCTGACTTGACTCTGCATCAAATGGAGGTATGTGGTAAACTTCACTCTTGGGGGGAAAAGCCCCATACCCACTACGTATGAGGCTTGGTGGAATTTGGTGAAGAAAAATTTCCATCACACCTGATGTCAAATGAACTCAACTAGCCATTATACTAAAATGCCATGGCTCACAGGATAGGTACCAGTGGAAGGCTCTTGTGAACATGGTAATGAACCTTCAGGTTCCATAAAATGCTGGGAAGTTCTTGATTAACTGCACAAATGGCAGCTTATGAAGGAGGGCTCAACGCCATGAGTGGGTGAATGAATAAGAGATATCACTTCTGACTTGACTCTGCATCAGATGGAGGTACGTGGTAAACTTCACTCCTGGGGGAAAAGCCCCATACCCACTACGTATGAGGCTTGGTGGAATTTGGTGAAGAAAAATTTCCATCACACCTGACATCAAATGAACTCGACTAGCCATTATACTAAAATGCCATGGCTCACAGGTAACATCCACTAATATGAAATGCAGCACATTTTTAAAACAAATTTACTGGCACTCTCATTCTTGGCTATGGCCTAATGGTTAAGAACATCCATCGCAGCACCAGATATGTGACAAATCTGCCAATACAAAACAATTCTTTGCCAGTAGCCACATCTTCTATAACACACTGTAAAACTATGTACCTAAAGTAAATTGGGTGTTGCTGTCAACCAATCACTGATTAACTCTGAATCCAGTATATATACAGGTTATTTTTTTTTTGGCAAATTACATGCAAGAAACAAACATTTATAGTAATTACACACAAGAGATCACTGTGTCATTAAAACCTATATTTTCTCACCTTAAAAACGATTGGGATACTGATGAAATGTTAATTAAATTCAGTTGACAGGGTCTAAGATGTATGTGTATGTGTGAATCTACTGAAATTTTCTTGCACATTTTGCTCTACTGAAACTTATAAAATCTTGGGGCTTTTATTTGTATACATTCATTGACCCCAATGCTATAGTATAAATCTAGAAGTCTACCACTCCATAACATTTGTTAGAATTATCATAATAAAACTTAACCTTACTTTCAAGACAATGTAGTTTCCCAAATACAGAAATCATGAAAATACTGGCTACCTTTTTTGTTCTGAGTTGTAAATGCCTTTGGCCTCACTAGGTCATTTATAATATGTACAAGTATACTGGTTGCTGTACACTGGGATCTTATCTGCTGACACCGTATTCTAGTCATGCTAGTCGTGCGGTTTCTTGGTTCAAACCGTTCAAACTGACTTAACCAATTTTTATTTTCTTCTACTTAAAGAAAGAATCTGGAAATCTGGAAGACACTGACCAGCACTGACCGTGGCGTAACTGAGCCTTGAACGCCTTGAGGTACCTGTGGTACTAGACGGGCCTTGCAAAAATCATGAAAAACATCAGGATGGCTGACTTTCCTGTCGCGGTTCAAACAAAACACTTCCAAGAAATGTCTTGGGCAGTTTGGAACGTTCACTAGACCAGTGTATTCGATATGGAGTGCTATAAACCAAAAGACAGTGAACTACATTTTTCCTTACGCACAAACCTTTAATCTTATCTATCCTTATCAAACATAACCAGTCATAAAAACATTGTTACAAGTTCACACGGCATGCAAAAATAACACTTTAACACAAGGCCACAAATCTGAAATCCATATTCGGCTTCAGATAAATCACTTTTGAAACTCCGTCACGGACCCAAACAGCCCATGTCACTTTGAACAGGAAAATGAATTTTTGAAAGTTTTTCTTATTACTACGGATTGAAAAATTACAGCTTTAATGAAAATCGTCTGAAGAGTATTTCCTTCACTTGGGAAAACACTGTTTTCTTTTTATTGATTACATTGGAAGTAACAATTAGTCTACAAAATGAAAAATGTGAAGCATTCAACTAACCTTTACTTACTGCTGTAATATTCTTTTACGACTCAAATTTGTTGAAAGGCAATTATTATGTGAATTCATTACGACACAACCCAACCCTGACAGATTACAAGGAAGACCGCAAATGCAGTCTTACATGACCTACGGACTATTCAGCCCCCGTGGCCTAATGGATAAGGCATCGGTCTCCTAAACCGGGGATTGCGGGTTCGAGTCCCGCCGGGGGTAGAGGATAATTTTTTGTTTCAAAATTTTTAATAAAATAGTTCGTTTACAAACTTACTTTTGACTGGTTTTAATATCATGCCATGATTACTACGAAAAATATTAAATTCATGGATAAATCCAAAACTTAACCAGCTGTGTCAGTAGGAAAGTTATTGTAGATGGAAGAAATACCCAGTGTCAAGGGTTCTTGGGATCCATCTACTTGTCTCTTGTAATAATCAATTTGTACTGGCAAAGGCAAATCTCATCACTACATGCTGCATTCTCAGTGCTCTAATATTCCTGACATTTTCCTTTATTTTGTAAAGAGCTGCATTTTGTTGGGTGGTGTGACCTAGACCAGTGGTTGTCAACCATCTTTTCGCTCATGGCCCACTTCCGAGTTTCATTTACTTCTGTGGCCCCAACCCTTCATATTGTTTAATTATAATAAATGTAAGATTTATAGTAAATATGTGCTTTATCAACTACACTTTTATTTATAACATGTATTATTTGTTTATAATGTAAGGAATATTAATTAATTTTTAAAGTTGATGACTGCCCTATTTCTAAATATTTTAAATATGTGGAAAATTTGTGAAGTCAATATTCATAAAAATTACTTTAAAAGCCATTCTACTTAAAATAAATACAACACTGTTGTAATCAATTCACAAAATTTTTCTGTCGTAGAGGGCGGGTATTCAGATTTTGTTAAAAGCTAATAATTTGTTTGTAATGAAAGCTCAAGTTTTATGAAACATAATGCTTACTTTTCGAAAAATAGTAGCTGGAGTTTGCAACTTACTTCCACAGCAGGGAACTGTCACATTAACTTGCACAGAAAAATGTCTTCCAAACACTCTGAATGCTTAACTGAAGAACACCTGAAATTTATTGAAATGGTGGTGGGAGATATTTATGAAAATAAAAGATCAATTTTCCAGTTCACCATTTTGTTAGGACTTTGCCCCCTCCCACGAGGCGAGTACATGGAATTCCCAGATCTAAGGCTGTGGTTTAAGTACAACAGATTCTGTACACAAAAACAAGTATACTGAGTTATTATGTTATTACGTATATGTACTGACCATTTTACATTTTATTTCTTTTTATATTATTAATAATTTTATTCTAGAAGTGAAATTTTAGTGTCCCACTTAATGGTTTCCGTGCCCCCCCCCCCCAATTTTTCCGACTTTTGCCTGTTGCATCTCCAATATATGGCACAATCCCTTGGACAGGACCCCTGTTGAGAACCACTGACCTTGACAATGAGGCGGCAGCAGACTTTGATTCTAAGTATTTGAGGTTCGAGTTGTATGATGGTCTTGTCAAGCTTACGTTTTATATATTGGTATGTAAGACTTTAATTTTCTTCTGACATATTATACGTGCCATAAATCCGAAATCCAAAAAGGAGTGGTTCTAGTGAAATATGCCAGCAACCTCCATACTTTGGCCAGGTCATGAAATTACCAACCTGAGTTGACTGATTCGTCCATTTTTTTACCCCATATAACCCTCACCTGGTGCAAGCACACCTTATGGGATAGAAGAATCGCAAGCCAGAAAATATGCTGTCCTGCACTCTAGAACTGAAACAGTTAAAATTTTGTTGTTAGTTAGTAACAGGGATTACTCACTCACTTACTCAACCTCCACCTCGTTTAATTTCTTGCGACTGAACCTCTCCATATGAACCCTGTGCATTGTTTGTTTACTCATCACTAGTCTCTCCCTAAATTTTGCCACCACCACATAGTGGTCAGTATCACAAGCTGCTGCCCTGAATGATTGGACATCAAGTATACTTGAATGTAATCTCATATCTATCAAAATATGGTCAATCTGATTGTGTGTCTTTCCATCAGGACATGCCCAAGTACATTTATGAATGTTAAGATGTGGGAACATTGTACATTTGATGGAAGGTTTTTTGATGTGGCAAAGTTTACTACTCTAACTCCTTTAACATTACTAATTTTGTGTAAACTCTCATTATCAATTTTTTGTTTGAAAATGTCTTCCTTACCTACTTTGGCATTGAAATCTTCTAAGAAAATTTTCACGTGGTATTTTGGGAATTTATCAAATACGTATTCTAGTTCTTCATAGAACCTGTCCTTCATACATGTAATCAGTTTTATCTTCTGTTGGGGCATGAACATTCAGAACGATAATATCACACCATCGACCTTTCAGTATTATGTATGACATCCTATCACTAACAAACTCTGCGTTCTTAACTGCTGATATGATTCTCTTATGTACGAAAAAACCTGTACCTAATTCATGATTTTCATTCCCCTTTCCACAGAAAAATGTGTATTCACCTGTTGGTTCGGTGTCACCTCCATCCCATCTGACCTCCTGTACTCCCACTAAATATAACTTATATTTTGATATTTCTTCTGCCACTGCCCTGAACAAACCTGCCCTATACATTCATCTAACATTTCAAGTACCAAATGTCATATCCATTTACTTTAGCTTAGGTCGTTTATCTAAGGAATCCGTCTTGGTGATCCTTTGTAACAAACTCATTTTTTATGGTGAGGAGTTGTTAGCCGCACACCCAACCCCAAGGTGGAGGACCACCCCTTGTTGGATGTCCGTCACTGCTTATTTAATGTATTTTCAGCTACCCTCCATATCTGGAGGCCATCTCCTCCATCCACAACCTGAGGATTCACCGTGCTGTGGTGACCAGGGATCCACCTAACATGGGTCAGCAGAAGATATGTTATGGAAATCCAACAAACTATAAAAACCAACACTCATATGATTAAACTTATTTTTAACTAATTTTCAGATGTATACAGTAGAAACCCTGTCATTAAAGCATCTCTTTCAATATCAAGACAACTGATACATATCACAGTGGGATCCTCCTTGGTTTATGTCAACTGTACAAACATGCAGTAGTCAGGAGACAGCGTAAATATTTAATGTATTGATTCGCCTGCGGCTGACCTTATGACTAAAACACGTGGAAAATACATTTATATGAAAATACACTGAGTATTTTTTGTGTGATAAAAAATACTTCCTGATATACATAACAAACAGAATGCAAAATTACCATGAAAAGTACTAATGTGCTCCTGCCCTCACATCATGTGTCAAAAGCTTCGAAAATGCATCAATGACTAACATGCTCTGCTTTTTCAAACAGAACCCTGGTTGCCTGATCCACACATGAGTTATCCTTTATCTTACAAGCTTACTTATCTTCATCAATTTTCTTGGCATCTTAATATTATTCCACTAGGATATGTACCTATTCAGTCTGCAAAACTGGAGCAACTTTCTTCCATCTGCTAAATCACAGCAATTATGACACTTTCATTACATGCTGACTATTATTTTCATAGGATTTTTCCTTTCAGAGGTGATGTACAAAGAACACTGCTATTTCATTAGCATTGCTGATCTACCCCAATATATAAATATGTTTTTCTTAGACTTAGATAACATACAATGTAAATGAAACTGAAAGTGTAAATTGTGATTTATTCCACTTTGATTATTCTCCTTCCATTGCTGCTTACTGTCCTCATAAAAAAACTGTGTGGCTTTAGTCCGCAAGTGAACTATATGGACCTAGCCACTGCTGCTTGTCTGCGAAGTTAGTGCCAACTTTAGTGGATATAGGGGTGTCGCATGGTCAGCACAACAAATCCCCACGGCCGTTAATTTCGGTTTTCTAGAGGGAGCCGCTACCTTTTCATTTGAGTAGCTCTTCAAATATCGTCAAGAGGCTAAGTGGACCGTGTTGCAGACCCACTACTTCTCAGAAAATCTGGTAGCACCAGGAATCAAATCTGGGACCTCTGGATCTGTAGCCAGGAACTCTGACCAATAACCACAGAGGCGGTCGCTTACTGTCCTTATAAATGCTTTATTTCTTTGATGCCACAAAGTGATTAGTTACTCCGGCATATTTCATAATGATTAAATTAAAACTGTCATCATGTAACAACTTTCTTATATGTGCACAACTGAATTATGGATTTTAAATGAAACGCTTAAAATTAGCAGTAATATTGTAGACCATACCTTATATCAGTTCTTGACACAAATGATAACAAAGCAACAATGCACATTCACTCACTATGGAAAACCTGGTGAATGTGGCATATCTTGAAACACACATCAATACAAGTTATCAAGTCAGCCAAGGATGGCACTAACATAATAAAGCCAGTCTTAGCTGAGTTTCTGCAAAGATATTGGAAATATAGAATGCCATCTTAGGGATACTGATCTTTACGAAGTGTACTTTGTGCCTTCAGAAGTAACTTTGCACTGTGTAGGATCTGAGGTTCTCACAGCAGTGCTTATGAACAATTCTATCTTCTGGGATATAGCATCATGTAGGATCTGAGGTTCTCACAGCAGTGCTTATGACCAGTTCTATCTTCTTAGATATAGCGCCATGTAGGATCTGAGGTTCTCATGGCGGTGCTTATGAACAATTCTATCTTCTGGGAAATAGCGCTGTGTAAGATCTGAGGTTCTCACAGTGGTGCTTATGAATAATTCTATCTTCTGGGATATAGCGCCATGTCAACTGAAGTTTCAGAAGAATATTTCACTTCCATCTTCCTCTAACACTGTTCACTTTCAACTTTGCACTAGATTTGAAAAAGATTCTGTCAGTCTTACAGTAAATATAAGAACCAGATCAACCTGGTTCTTATTTCTGCTGATAGATGGAGTATTTTTAAGTTCCTATGATAACTTTCACTGCCACTAGAAGTGG